CTAGACAGAGTGATATGTTTCTCTATGTCCAGGGTATGATTGCTAGATGATAAGCTCCAAAAAAAAAAAAAAAAGGCATTTTTGCCTTCAGACTTTCTTTAGCAGAATTAGATTTTGACCTGAGTTATCTGGTTAAATGTTATGTGTCTGTGACTCCACATAATTCACTGTAGAAGACATGTATTGCAGATTTAAAATACCACAAACTTAGTGGATTCAAACACACATTTATTACTTTAGTTTCTGCGAGACCAGCGTCTGGACATGGCTTAGCAGGGTCTCTGCATAGGATCTGGAGGCATTATCTGGAGGCTCCACAGAACTCTGCTTCCAAGCTCCCTTGGGCTGTATTTCTTTTCTTTTCTGTCTCATGACCACCTCCTGAGGCTATTTACTGATGAGTCCCAGCCTGTGCACAGCTCAGCATCCCTCCATCTCCCCACTACAGTTACTGGATCCCTTCCAGCAGGCGCAGTCATGCTTCTCCCAATTGCCTGAACCAAAAGTGACCAAAGGTAGGAATCACTAATACAGCCACTGCACCTCTTTCTGAGAATCCTCCCCAATTCACCACTGATGTGCAAGTTCAAGTTTGTCAATAGTCCTTGGTTTTACGTTGGGTAACTTGTTTTGTTTCAGTTTCTTAATAGATTTTTGTTCTGATACTAGACCAGCCTATGACCAAACTTTTGCTGGTGGTTTTCTCCCCCACATTATTCTCCCTTGCCACTCTGTCATTTCTTTAATAACATCTTTATAATTATATATTTATTTGTGTTCCCTTTGTTTGATGTCTACTCTTCCTAGACAAAATGTAATGAGGTAGCGTTAAATGTGCTTCCCTCACTGTCCTACACCTTGCATCCAAGACAGTGCCTGTCATTTAAGTGAATGGATAAAAGAATGAACAAGTTTCTACATCATATCTGGTATGGCGTAAAGCATAAAACTTAGAGGTGATAAACCTGTCATACCATTAGCATCTGCACACAAACTCTTATCACCAGGAACTGCCAAGTACAAAATGGTAACAAGTAACAAGGGAATACTTCAATGAGACAGTGAGGATATGAGACATTTTGTCTCCAGGGCATTCAGAGAGCTCCACGAAAGAAACTTTTGGATTAAAAAAGAGGTGGCTAAATTCCAAGCTATTTCTGTTTTCTCATCTGTAACGATGACCTGGACTACATGATTTGTGAAGTTTCTAAGATCAAATATTCTAGAATTCCATTTCTCTATTTTGTCCAGAATCAGTACTACGGGACAACTATTGACTAAGGTTTTTCCTCCTTAGATGTGTAAGGGATGCTTACAATATCTGGAAGGTAAAAATAAAGATCCTGTTGGTAGAGGGAAGGGGGAAGGGTATGTGATAGCCAGTGTGTGTTCCTACTACACTTACTAGCAGAACATCTGTTCAAGGATCATTCCACAGTGTGGTCATTTTGTTGAAAATAAATTATTCTAGCCCTAACTGGTTTGGCTCAGTGGATAGAGCGTCCACCTGCGGACTGAAGGGTCCCAGGTTCGATTCCGGTCAAGGGCATGTACCTTGGTTGTAGGCACATCCCCAGTAGGGGGTGTGCAGGAGGCAGCTGATCGATGTTTCTCTCTATTCCTCTCCCTTCCTCTCTGTAAAAAATCAACCATATATATATATTTTCATATATATATATATATATATATATATATATATATATATATGAAAATAAATTATTCTAGAAAGTAAAGAACAGGCCAAAAATAAAAATCTTTATTACACAGTAAATAAAACATCCATGGAGATGTGCACGTTCTCTGCCTATTGCACATGAGTACTTCTCACTTCCCTTTAATATAATCTAACAGCAAGTGAAGTGGTCCAGATAAATGCCCATGACATGTGAAGATGACTGCAAGGCTCATCTTCTTTGGCGTTGCACATGCAGAAAAAAACAATCATTCTGACTCATAATAAATTATGTGAAACATTATTAGATTCATTAAGAATGGATCTGTCTTTTCCATATCTCACCTAACATAACCAGTTGTTACTCTTCAATATGTGTGTCACCATCCTGACATTGGGGTCAAACTCAAACTTTGCTGATCCACTGAAGAAATAGAAAAGTCCTGTAAATATAAATGAGTAACATAATGAGGAGTTCTTCAAATAAATCAATTTTGCAACACATAACTCAGAGTGAGTTAATAATAAATGGCATTTAAGTGGTTACTCTACCAGTGGTCGGCAAACTGCGGCTGGCAAACTGCGGCTTGTGAGCCAAATGCGGCTCTTTGGCCCCTTGAGTGTGGCTCTTCCACAAAATACCGACTTCTGCGCATGGGCCATGAAGTTTCAATCGCACTGTATGTGCATGCCCACACGTGGTAGTTTGTGGTATTTTGTGGAAGAGCCACACTCAAGGGGCCAAAGAGCCGCATGTGGCTCGCGAGCCGCAGTTTGCCGACCACGGGCCTAAACCAAGGACTGTGCTAAAGGCTTTGCATGCTTTATTTCACCTATAGTTATTCTAAAAGTGTAAGGTACTGCCAATGAGGAAAGCCCTGAAAATTAGGGAAGTATTGCAATTTTCCTAAGGTAACATCTCTAACGAAAGATGGAGGAAGTACTTCATCTCATCTGTCTTACTCCAAAGCCAGTGCTCTAAAACATGAAATCATACTACCTTCAAATTGATGAAATTCTGTGATATTTTAAAAATTTAATTTATTCTCTTTCTTCCCAGTCCTTTCTTCCCCGAATAGGTCCTAAATCACAGTTTGGGAGGAGATTGGACCCAAGAGAATTAGGCCAATGATAAAATGCACTGGGGGTCCAGTTCCTGCTGAGCACCGTTAAGGTTATCTTAGTAACAAGACCATCAGCCTTATGAGAATTATGATTGTTAAGCCCTGGCCACTCTCTCCAAATTAATTAAGAAAAAAAAACAAATTTTATTTTATTTTATTTTCATCTTTTGTACTTCTTTTTTTTTATTATTGCTTAAAGTATTACAAAGAGTAGTACATATGTCTCCTTTTTTTTTTCCCCTTGACATTCCCCTGGCTTCCCCTACCCCCCAGTGTCTTGTGTCCATTGGTTATGCTTATATGCATGCATACAAGTCCTTCGGTTGATCTCTTACCCCCCCGCCTCCGCCCCCCAACCCTCCCCGGCCTTCCCGCTGTAGTTTACAGTCTGTTCGATGCTGCTCTGCCTCTGTATCTATTTTTGTTCATCAGTTTATAATGGTCTTTATTATCCATAAATGAGTGAGATCATGTGGTATTTTTCTTTCATTGACTGGCTTATTTCACTTAGCATAATGCTCTCCAGTCCCATCCATGCTGTTGCAAATGGTAAGAATTCCTTCTTTTTTACAGCAGCATAGTATTCCATTGTGTAGATGTACCACAGTTTTCTAATTCATTCATCTGCTGATGGGCACTTAGGCTGTTTCCAGATCTTCGCTATGGTAAATGGTGCTTCTATGAACATAGGGATGCATATATCCTTTCTGATTGGTGTTTCTTGTTTCTTGGGATATATTCCTAGAAGTGGGATCACTGGGTCAAATGGGAGTTCCATTTTTAACTTTTTGAGGAAACTCCATACTGTCTTCCATAGTGGCTGCACCAGTCTGCATTCCCACCAGCAGTGAAGGAGGGTTCCCTTTTCTCCACATCCTCTCCAGCACTTGTTGTTTGTTGATTTGTTGATGATAGCCATTCTGACAGGTGTGAGATGATACCTCATTATTGTTTTGATTTGCATTTCTCGGATGTTTAGTGACTTTGAGCATGTTTTCATATGTCTCTTGGCTTTCTGAATGTCCTCTTTTGAAAGGTGTCTATTTAGATCCTTTGCCCATTTTTTGATTGGATTGTTTATCTTCCTTTTGTTAAGTTGTATGAGTTCCCTATAAATGTTGGAGATTAAACCCTTATCGGTGATAACATTGGCAAATATGTTCTCCCATGCAGTGGGCTTTCT